CACATCCAGTACATACATACTGAAAGTACACACATGTACACATTAACTACATACACACATGAAGCACACACACACACATCCAGTACATACATACTACATAGTACATACGTATGTTCTTACTGTAGATTTTGTTCAAAATAATTCACGTCTACTTCATTTGAGATCAAATCACTATATAAAAACAGATACATCATATACTTGTATAAAAGCATGTGGATGCTTGACATGGAAATCCTGATATTATTCAGGATGCAAATTAATTTTAAATGACATATATTTACACCAGAAACACATCAGGAGCAAGTCACTTAGTTTTGCACAGAAGGAAAACACATAAACATGAAAACATTGGTCATTGAAGTGAAGGCGAAATGGTAACAAGCGCTGCTGCACCTATCAAATAAAACAAAAACTCTTTTGATTTAATTTTAGTAGAATATCATGATAGCGTTCACAAGAAGTGGCATTACATGAAAATTAGGTTTACTGTGACTTTAAATAAAATGTGCAATTACACTGATAAAAAAAACAATTTACATTTTAAAATGCTTTCCCCAGTCAAGTCGGGTATGTGCAAGACACGTCAGATATTTAATTCATAAAAGGGACAAGTCACTAAATCCAACTAAACTCCATCTCTGTAACTTCTGCAGAGTTTGAAAACTTTACGCTGTTTGTCAGTCAACTCTCTTCGCTGATGTTAAACACTCTTCTGAACTCTGAGTGAAATAACTGCTTCAGTCTGTCACCCACGACGAGGATATCAGGGTTAGCCTGTAAAAGAACAGAACAGTTCCCGTCACTAACATAGTGATGAATCTTAATGTTACAAAAGAGTTCTTCCATGATTCTCACTTGGTTGTACGAGGCAAAGTTGGTGAATATGAGTTGGACGTCAGACACAAAATCTCCAACTGTTCGGTATTCTTTCCCCTGGAGTTTCTCTGCTAATTTTTCCAGCCACATCGGAGTCTTGACATAAGTGGAGTAATTTTCCAACTGTGGATGTCAAGCAGAAATGAAAGAAATGCTCAACACAGTCACACATAAACTTAGTGATTAACACTACTTTTTCATGAAGGAGGACATCAAATAGCGTACTTACAGAGAGGCTTGGGTTTATACCGAATATTTGTTGGTCATCAGCACTGTACAGACGCAGGACGAGATACTGACATTCCTGTTGATGGAAGAAAAGCATGAGTGAGAGACACAGACGTGAAGACGGACAAAGACAGAGAGTTGCTCGTTGAGCTCACCAGTATGTGATCAGAGATCTGGTGGGACAGGGCTGCTGTAATTTCCAGCTTATTACCGAACCGCCACTCCTGAAAGGTTACACAGAACGTACACATCCACGGTCTGTTGTCCCTGCACACACACACACACACACACACACACGTCAAACAAATTTTTTTCAAAAATTGTCATCGTAGGTAGTTCATGTCACACTGATGTTAATTTTTCTGGTAAATCCAGTTTTAATTAGTCATTTAATGCCATAAAACCGTGGTGAAACATCACGTTTGACAGCTGAGACGGACTTGAGATTAGTCAAGCATGTGTATCGGTCAATAAAATACTGATTGATATCGCATAAAACGAAGTATATGTGAGTAAATTAGTATGCATCACAATGTAAACACTATTACATAAAGACAGGTACTTCAGATTCTAAAGGGTGTTTATGTCTGGATTTGCTCCTACTTCAAAAGGTTGTCGTCTACATGCGGCAGGTGACATTTCTGGTGGAAGGAACAAGGGCAAGAATCACACAACACCAGGTCGGCTTCTCCTCTTTTACACACACAACACTCATCGTCGTTTTTCTGATCCTCCTGGCGGGACACACAGCACATGACAGAAAGTTTGTTAACACGCAGCTCGACTACATCTTTCTTCACAACCGCTGGACCACCGAGATAAAAAAGTTAGAGTGTTCTTCATGCAGAGTAAAGGCCAATGAAAGGTGGAGAGATTGTACGGATGAAGGAACTTACCAGATCTTTTTTATTTGGTTTGCACAGTCTGCACTTACACAGCAGTGAGTGGATCTTCAAGACCTCCGCCTGAAATCAAAAATAAATCAACATCGTCTTCCTCTTTGTTTCTTTGTTCAGAGCTCCATCCATCCAAAACACAAAACACACACACACACACACACACACTATACCTCTATGAGAGCACAGAGTGGTTGTCCTTCAAACATGATTTCTTTCCTCCATAAGTCTGACTGACTTGATGTCTCCTTCAAAAACTCCATGGGGGTCAACCAGCTTCTCTCTGTTCGAATACACTTCCCACGAGTCCCTGGTGGAGACAGGCAGATCAGATGGGACACGTTGGTTTGGTCGGTTTAGTTCACAGCATTACATGTTCACAGTATCACAAAAACAAAGCAAATACAACTTCCTCGAGCGCCTCATTCACGGCGAACGTTACCTGATCCAAATCGTTTTTGGTGTAAAGTCCCAGTTGCATCTCCACATGTCACTTTGAAGACTTTGTGGACTTCTGGCACCTGCTCTGTCTGTTCCTCAGTCTCTTTGTCTTCATCTGCAGCGGACACATGCTGAGAGTTTGAGAAACTTAAACTTTTCTTAGCATAAATGTATCTTCATATAAACAAGCACCTGGGACATCTGAAGAATTTTCTTTGTCGCTATAAGAAACATTGTCCGTCTGGTTTTCCAGGTCCTCCACCTCCTCATCCTCATTTTCATCATCATCTTCTTCTTCCTCAGACACTAAAAAAGAACAAAGCAAATTTGAGGTACTTTTACATGTACATATCAGTCACATACAGATGCTCACTCTGCCTGTATATATATATATATATATATTTATATGTACTTCTCTCAAATAAATATATTTGATGCTCAAAAGTTCATAAGGAACTTCATGAAATCCACAGTCGAAATTTAAGCCCAGGTAAAAATACATATGCAAATATAAAATTATGACATTTAAATTTTTTACCTGAGATTAGCAGATGCTCTGGTATCTATAAATATACTACAGTTTTCAATATCAGTGTTTTGCACTAATACAAACCTGTCTCAGATGAAAACAGGGATCTCTTGGCCTGCAAGGAAGAAACAACCCCGATGATAAGTGATAAGAAGATGATACTGAGTCTGAATTATGTTGAATTTTTGATTCATAATGTTTTCACCTGTCTTGATTTCACTTTTTTGCCTCTTCTGTAGTTTGCTGATGTCAGGTTCCCTTCCTGAAGAGAAAAACGTTTTGGTTTTTTTTATACCGCAAATAGCATGTGAAGTGATTTGTGTTTAATATAGAAAAATAATTTATTTTCAACAAACATCTATAAGTCTTGCCAGTGGGGTACCCATGCACCTAATGCTGAACTTCCAGTTCTTTGAGCTTCCCTTCCCTGCAGACTTCTCAAATCCAGCTGGAGTAAACCACTTTTTCTGGAACATAATGCACGACTCCCCTGAAACACACAGAGGAAAGAAAATGTGTTCATCAAAAATTGAAATCATGTCCTCTATCAACCCCCCCCCCCCTTTAAATCAAGTAATGAAACAATTATTCCTTTTTAACCTCTGACCTTTCGCCAGTCGCTCCCTGCTCAGGATCCCCTCCTGGGATCCACAGGTCACGGGCAGCTGAGACTTAAAAATGGGCCAAGTCCAAATGTCCCTTTTCTCTCCTTTCTTCAAGGGAGAATCTGAGGAATTTGAACACAATGTTAAGTTTAGATTTCTTTGTTCAAACAGTCTTGATTTAACTTCCTGTTGTTTTTACGCATTTTATTTACACACTTTTCTGAAGACAGAAACCTTTGTTGAATCTGACTCGTACAAACTCACCGTACGAAAACTACGTGGGAGAAATTTAGGATAAGAACATGAACCTGTTCTTGCAGGAGGCCCAAAGTGCACTCTACAGCAGTCAGACTTTCAGGTACTATAAGTGAAACATACATGAGAGGTGACTTACAGAGGCATACTTTCCTGGACTTTTTCCTCCGACGTGGAGTCAGCTGACAGGAAGGACCGGGCTGCTGCTCGTCATCATCCTCGCACAAGCTCTTCCTCAACAGCTTCCTCTTCTTTTTCACTGAGCTCACCTGCTCCTCCTCTTCCTCCTCATCTTCTGAAAGCTCCTTCCTTTTCCTTTCATCTGTCTCTTCCTTCTCCTCCTTCTCGGGCAGTTCCGTGTAAAACTGGAAAGGTTCTGCAATTCCATGAAAGGTCGGATATGTAATGAAAACAAGGTTCACATTAAAAGAAAGACACAACTTTTATTTGAAGTTTTCTCTCTCTCATTAATGTTGAAAGGACTTCACTCTTCTTAACATCTTTAATTCTGCTTTGTATTTATGTTTGACTCCATAGTGACTGTCAGCAGAGTTTTGAAATGTATTTAAAGCTAATGTGGAAGCAAGCAGAGTTTTATAAACCTGATGTAAAGACGTTGTATGTATGTTTCCTGTTTGGAATAGTTTTTCTATTATAATAATGATAATAATTATTGTAATAACTTTATTTACAGAGTGCTTTTCGCCACACAGCAAGAAAAAGTTCATTCGTAGAAGGAGGTCCATAAATAATCAATCCTTAATAAGGAGAATTGTAAAAACAAATAAAAAGGTGTAATTAGTCAGGGACAATGTATAGAATGTGTTCATGAACATTGACACTCTGACCACAGATAAATCAAAGAGGGTCTGACCGTCCACAAGGCTTTTACGCAATAGTTGCAGGGTTGGGTAGACGTTCAGGATGATGTCTTTGAAGACACATGTCCAGAACAGGCGGATGTGCTGTGATCGCTCCTTCTCCAACCAGTCCAGGATGTCATAAAGGGCTTTCTTCTTGTTTTCTTTTTTCCTCACGCTATTGAATTTCTACGCACACACACAATTATATGATTCAATTGTGATATAGCAATGCATCAGTTCATATTTCATAAACTCATATTTTTCTATTCTTAGTGTATGTACAGTAACCACTTGCAGACTGTGGGTTAAGTGACTAGTTGTTGTCCAAGTTAAATGTTGGTCATAGTTACCTCTGTTATCTTTTCCTTTGATTTTGTTGGTTTGGTTTTAATTTGCAGGATTATACAAAAACTACAGGATGAGTTAAAATGAAAACTTGGTGGAAGGATGTGGTGTGAGTCTGGAAAGAATCCATTACATTTTGATGCAGATCCGGATCAGGAGGCCGATGCAGGATTCCACTAACTTTCATTAACTTACCTCAACATTGTCCTTGATTTATCACAATATAATTCATGAATCTTGATGAAAAAAATCAGACATGGGTCAGGGACTGAAATAATTTAAATAAAGTCTGTGACATTTTATTTGTACATGAGATAGAAGATATACAGTAAAAAAATATATATTGGCCTAGCAACTGGGGAAAATAGGAAACTTCCCTATTGCATATAAGACTCCATAGAGGCCTGAAATACTGTGTCCACACACTGTACTTCTGTTCTAAATACATTTCATATGTTTAACTATTTATGTCAACACAATACATTTGTTCTTATGGGAAGTGTTTTTGAACCACACCTACACAAGACAAACACACGCACCTCTTCTTCTATTGGATTTTACTGCTAATAATAATATCTCCCGCTCTCACAAGTGGGCGCGCGTTTCATCCAAACAGGACCCGTATGTGTGTGTGTGTGTGTGTGTGCGTGTGTGTGCGTGTGTGTGTGTGTGTGTGTGTGTGTGTGTGTGTGTGTGTGTGTGTGTGTGTGTGTGTGTGTGTGTGTG